CAGAAGATATTAAGGTACAGTCATTTACTGAGCACTAAATACTGATGTGTTCCCTGACATTTCTGAGCTGTCTTGCAATTAAGAGAATCACACAGCTAGGTTCCGTCTTGAAAAGTGTCATCCATCATTCCTAGGCTTCAGCATTTAAGAGTAAACATGGATAGGGAGCCAGAGTGATATTAAAGCAGGTAGGGTGTTTGCTTTGCAAGTGGCCCACCTGCGTTTCAACCCCATAATCCCATATGGTCTCCTGAGCCCACAGGAGTGATTTCTGATCACAGAGCCAGGAGTAAGCCCTGAACACCGCTGGGTGTGGTCCAAAAACCAAAAGCCCAACCAACCAACAACAAAAAAAGCCAACACATATAGACAGAAAAACTTCCCACAGGGGCCAGGAAGATAGCTCAAGTGGTAGAGCACATGCCTAGCACATGCAAGGCTCTGAGTTCCATCTGTATTCCCCACTCTCTCCAACACCATTGGGCGTGGCTCTGGTGACACAAGCACCAGTTGTGGGGAGAACTCCATTATAAAAATGAATCTTCATTGTGAACTATAAATAAAATTAAAGAAGAAAAAAGAAAAACAAATCTTAACACAAAGAAAAGTCCAGTTTCAGTTGATTTTATTATTATTATTATTATTATTATTATTTTGATTTTGGGGTTACACCCAGAGGTAATCAGGGGTTACTACCAGCTCTGTGGTCATATGGGGTATAAGGAACCGTATGTGGTGCCAGGGATTGAACCCAGGTCAGCTCTTGCAAGATAAAATACCCTATATCCTGTATATGTATGTGTGTGTATGTGCATGTGCATGTGCATGTGTATGTGTATCTCTAGTCCCTCAGTTGACTTTTTAATAGTGTGTTCTACCTAGCATTTTTTTTTTGCTTTTGGTTTTTTCAATCATCCCTGGCAATGCTCAGGCATTGTTCTTGGCTCTGTACTCAAGGATCAAGCCTGGCGTTGCTTGGGAGACCATATTGGGTACAGGTGATGCTCTACCTAACATTTAAGGAAGAAATAATACGATTATCATAAGCCCTTAGAGAAAATCAAAGAGAAGGAACTACGTTCCAACTCATTCTAGATGCCAGCATTATTCTGAAAGCAAAACCAGACCAAGACTTTACAAATTTCAGACCAATTTCCCTCATCATCCTAGGTGTTAAAAATTACCTAAAGTTTATCAAATTGAACCAAAACATATATAACATAAAGAGCACAGTACATCCTGACCAGATGGAATTTCCCCTATGAGTACAAACTAGTTTGTTTTACCACATCAATAGACCACAAAGGAAAAATTATATGTTAATAGCAATAGGTCCTGTTGACTGCTTGAAGTTTTTTCTCCTTTTGTTAAAATTAAAGAGGAGGAGGAGTTGGAAAATTGCTGAAGTTATTCTGACCCCTTGGAGAGCCTGGCAAGCTACCGAGAGTATCCCTCCTGCATGGCAGAGCCTGGCAAGCTCCCCATGGCGTATTCGATATGCCAAAAACACTAACAACAAGTCTCACAATGGAGACGTTACTGGTGCCTGCTCAAGCAAATGGATGAACAACGGGAGGACAGTGCTACAGTACTATTCTGACCCAGCTCTGTTTAATTCTCCTTAATGTACTTGGTGGGAAAGGGAGCTGATTGCATGGAGTTGATAGGTTACTACTTGGTCCCATGTTCTGATAACAGTATAAGACTGAAGTTCTACCATACCTTATGGTGAATGACTAAATGTTTTTCACTTAAGATCATGATGTGCACACCTGCCACTAGTATTCTCAATTGTACTGAAAGTTCTTATACAGTAACAAACACAGTTTAATTGGGAAAGAAAAAAATAAAGGTATTAGAACTGGAAAAATATTTAAAAATAAAATTACTATCACTGGAGAAAATCCAATAAAATACACAAAAATCTATTAAAATAAGCTCTCAAACTGTACAGTACATAAACAATTGAAATTTGAATATTGTGCCATTTGGAATAATGTTTTTCTTATCAAAAAGATAAGAGGCTGGAGCGATAGCACAGCAGTAGGGCATTTGCCTTGCACACAGCCAGCCTGGCTGAGCCGGGTTCGAATCCTCTGCCCCTCTTGGAGAGCCCAGCAAACCACTGAGAAGCTACCCGTGACATCTTCAATATGCCAAATACAGTAACAACAAGTCTCAAAATAGAGATGTTACTGGGCCCGCTCAAGCAAATTGATGAACAATGGGAGGACAGTGTTTGTTTATCAAAAAGAATGCTTATTTTAATAATTGTATTTTTATAGTTTAACAAAATGCAAACTAATCTATAGCAAGAGGAAACACAACAGTGGCTGCATGGGGGATGAAGAGAAAAGTGGAGGTTTCAGAAGGGGATAAGTAAACTCAGTAGTGTGATAGGTATTTACTATATTATGTGGTGACGCATGCACAGATCCTTGAACATTTTAAAAAGAATCAGATTAGCAATGTAGCACTGTCCTTTCGTTGTTCATCAATTTGCTCGAGCGGGCACCAATAACATCTTCATTTGAGAGTTTTCGTTACTGTTTTTGGCATATCGAATATGCCACAGGGAGCTTGCCAGGCTCTGCCGTGTGGGCGGGATACTCTCGGCAGCTTGCTGGGCTCTCCGAGAGGGGCGGAGGAATTGAACCCGGGTCGGCCACGTGCAAGGCAAATACCCTACCCGCTGTGCTATCACTCCAGCCCAGAATCAGATTAAAGGTAAAGGCCCTCCCGTTGATCGTCGATTTGCTCGAGCGGGCCCAGTAACGTCTCCATTGGAGACTTTGTTGTTACTGTGTCTGGCATATCGAATACTCTCGGTAGCTTGCCGGGCTCTCCGAGAGGGGCGGAGGAATCGAACTCGGGTCGGCCATGTTGGCCGCTTGTAAGGCAAACGCCCTACCCGCTGTGCTATCACTCCAGAATCAGATTACTGATTATTATTGTTATTACACTGTATATTAATTGTACTTCAAAAAAGTCTAGATCAAGGTTGCAGCCCTCAATAAAATCTCTTGTTTGCATAAAATTACTCAGAAAAGACCTGGAGAGCCTGTATAGGAATTAGGCACTTGCCTTGCATACCACAGTATCTGTGGCAATGGTTTGAATTCGAGCGGAACATTTGGTCCCTGAGGTGTACCCTCTAAATGTAGAGCCTGATGTGGGCTCTGAGCACCACAGGACATGAGTCCCCCAAATTATTCAGAAAAGATTTAATATTATGTCCTTCTCCTTCCTCTTCTGGATTCTCACCACTATGTCAAGACTAAAAGTATATATACAAGACTTAGAAAATAGAAAACTACATGCCAGATCTATACACTATGTCCCCAGAGAGATGAGGCTGGTTGCTATGTGAAACTGAATATATTTAATATACTTAAAAAACCAACTCAACATTTTATTAAGTTTATTTTTTTAAGGATAAAATTCAGTGATGTTAGTATATTTAAAAGTTGTACATATGTCGCCATGATAACATTTCAAAAAGATGCATTATTCCAATTAGCAGTCCATGCATCCCAGTCCCACCCTCTTCCTTGTCCCAAGAAGCCATTAATCTGCCTGTCTCTCTGAATTTGCCTATTCTGTATATTTCATCTAAGGAGAATTCCTTGGGGTGTGGCTCAGTAGAAATACACATGCATTGTATTTGAGGTCTTGAGTTTAATTTTCAGCACTATAAAAATCATCAAAAAAAACCTCACCACCTGAATCTAAAACCTCATTCTTACTAGTTTCTTCTCACATGTGAAGTTTTACAAAGTAACAAATATAGTTATTAGCTGAAGCACAGCGGGTAGGGCGGTTGCCTTGCATGCAGCCGACTGGTGTTCGATTCCTCTGTCCCTCTCAGAGAACCCGGCAGGCTACCGAGAGTATCCCGCCTGCATGGCAGAGCCTGGCAAGCTCTCTGTGGCATATTCTATATGCCAAAAACAGTAACAAGTCTCACAATATTACTGGTGCCCACTCAAGCAAATCGATAAACAATGGGATGACAGTGTTATAGTGCTGCAAAATTATATAATCTCTGACCTTCAGTTAGCATAATTTTTCAGGGTTTACCCACATTGTAGTCGTGCCACTACTTCATTCTATTCTATGGCTAAATAGTATATGTTATAGCTAATTTTATTTATCAATTAGTAAGTCTAATAAATTTGGGGGCAAGAGTCTTGTGAAGTTACAAGCTGGAATAAACAAAACTTTGTTTACAAAGCAAAAATAAACTTTGACTAAGACCTAAAGCCAATTTTTAGTTCCTAATCTTTTAAGGTTAGCTGAGAATGCTCCACAGACTGTAAGAGGGTATGTATGTTCCTTAGTAGCTACTTCATAAATGGCAAGGAACATGGTGGAATAGGTTATCTAGAGGAAAGATTTAGGGACTCAAAAGAACAGAGAACAGAGAGTAAAATCAGGGCATGGTTCAGAATGTCCTTCATCCTTAGAAATTGCCTGAGTCACTTGCAGAACTGGGTGTGAAATAGCTATATTTCATTGTCTTCTATGATCAGCTCTTCTTATCCATTACAAATAGAGTGTATTTATGTCATTATACACGTTAGGAAAGCAAGCTAGCCAGTGTTTTTAAAAATTTGTTTCTAGACCAAGAATCAAGACCACTAGACCAAGATTAGTACTGATATGAAAGTTGCTATGCACCCGAAAGCGATGCAGGATTATGCATTAGATTCACTGGTTATATAATGCTTTGGTTGTAGCCTTTAAGGGAATGATGGAAAGGATTAGGTGTGTGGATTGAAGCAGTTCTAAGATTCTTGTTTAAGTGATTTACTGGGGCATGTTTTCAGAATAAAGGAATTTAGAGATCCTTCTCTCAAGCTAGAGCATAGGAACCATATCTAAGCAACAAAACACTATTAGGTCTAGACTAACTTCAATCTGATACTATGGAGAATAACTGGAGCACCAGAATTAGTCTCATGTGGAAGCAAGGGAGATTATGTTGGGAACTCTCTTACCTGGTCATTGGCTGAAGGGATAGAAGCATCACTTTCTGTTCAAGGGAGCTATCCTTAGCCAAGGGCAGCTTTCTAGAAGAGAAGGTAGCTGTTGAGCCATGGGCTACTATTTTTTTTCTTAGATAGGTATTTTTTAAAATTTTATCACCGTGAGAACAATTACAGAACTTTCAGGTTTAAGTCTCTCAAAACAACAATGAGATATCTCACACCACAGAGACTAGCACACATTCAAACACAAAAGCAACCAGTGCTGGCGTGGATGTGGGAAAAAAGGGACACTCTTTTCACTTTTGGTGGGAATGCCCACTAGTCCAGTCTTTCTGGAAAACAATATGGACAGTTCTTCAAAAACTAGAAATTGAGCTTCCACATGAACCCGCAATAGCACTTCTCAGAATATATACGGAGGATGCAAAAAAGCACAGTAGAAATGACATCTGCAACTATATGTTCATTGCAGCACTGAATAGCCAAAATCTGGAAACAACCTAAGTGCCCTACAACAGATGACTGGCTAAAGAAACTTTGGTACATCTAAACAATGGAATATTATGCAGCTGTCAGGAGAGATGAAGTCATGAACTTTGCTTATAAATGAATAGACATGGAGATTATCATGCTAAGTGAAATGAGTCAGAAAGAGAGGGAAAGACATAGAAGGACTGCTCTCATTTGTAAAATATGAAACAACATAACATGAGGCTGACACCTAACGATAGTAAATGCACAGGACAGGAAGATTGCTCCATAGCTGGAAGCCTGTATCATGAGCAAAGGGGAGAAGGCAGCTGGAATAGAGAAGGGATCTCTAAGAAAATGATGGCATGAGGAATGGTTCGGGATGGGAGATGTGTGCAGAAAGCAGATAAAGGACCAAACGTGATAACTTCTCAGTGTCTGTATTGCAAACCATAATGCCCAAAAGTAGAGAGAGATTATGGGGAATCATGTCTCCCATGGAGGCAGGGGGAGGGTGGGAAAGGGGGGGTATACCAGGGATATTGGTCGTGGGGAATGTGTACTGGTGGAGGCATGGGTGTTTGATCATTGTGTGATTGTAACCCAAACATGAAAGCTTGTAACTATTTCAAGGTGATTCAATAAAATAAAAAATTTAAAAATTTAAAAAAATTAATCAAGTCTCAGTCATACAATGATCAAACACCCATCCCTTTACCAGTGCACATTTTCCACCACCAAGAACCCCAGTATACCCTCCATTCCACTCCACCCCACCCCCTGCCTGTGAGGCAGATGATTCCCACTTAACTCTCTCTCTACTTTGATTACATTTATTATTTTGACAAAAGATGCACCATTATTATTTAGAATTTTCCCCAAACAATCAGACCTGCTGAAAAGGCATCGTTAGATAATTTGTTTTCTATTGCAGGTTATGAAGAGCTTATGATGTCACATGGCCGCAATAGCGGCTGTGCAATTTTGGATTTCTGATATTTTACTAATTAAGTCTGGAGGGATTTCTGCCAAAAGCTGCTGGGTTCCCAGATTGGTTTGTGTGCCTTTGGGATCATAGCCATTCTGGAGCCATAGAACCGCTCGTGGGGGCCAATTCATGGTGTCGGCGGGGCAAGAAGGACGGGCCATTTCCACCCCCCATCCCATGAGGCCACTGATGCCCTGTCACTGCCGGCTCATACCTGGCTGTCCAATAGTCTCTGAGCCTACGGCCACCAAGCCGGGCAGGGTCGGGGGAAGGCAGAAGGGACAAACACCCTTTCCCACCCCGGGGGGGGGGGGCAAGGCACCATAACTTAATGCATAGTCCAGACACATTTCTGCCAAAAGTTTCTGGGTTCCCAGATTGGTTTGTGTGCCTCTGGGATCATGGTCATTCTGGAGCCGGAGAGCCACTTGTGGGGGGCAACTTGTGGTGTCCCATGGGCTACTATTTGCAGCTGCTGAGGATATGTAAACTTACCTGATGAGAGGGATCAAGATGGGGGACCATAGCATGCATTACAGGGAAGATGGAAGTAAAGGTATTTTTGAGGAACAGAAGTAGGGATTGAGGTAGAGATATTTATTGTCCATTGAATATCCATGTTTTCTACACATACAAGTCCCCTTTACTATTTAATGGAGTTATTTAGCAAAGAGCTTGAAGAAGGAGCACTTGTAATTTTTTCACCTGAACAATATTTTTTCCTTTTTAAAAAATTTTTACCTGTTTACATAACAGTTGTTTTTACTTTGTGCTAATGTTTATGGAATTGATGTATAGTTCACTTCATGACTATCAAAGTGTGCAAGATGTTCCACCAATGTCCTTTTGTACCCCACCAATGTCCTTTTGTTTCTTTCAGTTCACTTCATCATTCTTCTGCCCACTCATTACCCCACCCACTTATCATTCCCATACTCCCCACCCAATGTTCTCAGTTGTGTAATTTAGGGTCAAGGGTTCATCATAATTTGATAATATCTAGTCTCTTCTTTTATTTCTCAGTACACTACAAATGAATGTGGCCATCCAGTGTTTGTCCTCCTGCCTCTGGTTTATTTTGCCTGACATCCTCAGTTCCATCCAAATTGTAGCGAACTGCAAAATTTCATCTTTTCTTATGACTGCATAATATTTCATTGACTATATGGACCACAACTTCTTTACCCATTCATCAATCATTGGACATTTGGATTGTTTCCATATGGTGCCTATTATAAAAAGTGCTTCAATGAACAGATGTACATATGTCTTTTTAAATGAAATGGTTTTGTGTTTGGGAGGTAAATGGCAAGAAATGGGTATGTTGTCTGATTCAGTCTCTATGAAAAACATTATGAAGATGTCTCAAAATAGAAGATGAAATAATGAAAGACAAGAGAGATATTAGAAAAACAATACCATTCACAATCATGCCTCAGAAAAATCAAGTGCCCTGGAATCAGTTTAACTAAAGATGTGAAGGATCTATACAAATAAAACTAAAAAAACACTACTTTAAGAAATAAAAAAGGACACAAGAAAATGGAAACACATCCCCTGGTCATGGATTGGGAGGATTTAACATTTTGAAAAAAAGCAATACTCCCCAAAGCATTATACAGATTTAATGAGTCCTTATAAGGATACCCATGACATTTTTCAAAGAAATAGATCAAACACTCCTGAAATTCATATGAAACACCCACAGGATAGCTAAATTAATCCTTGGGGAAAAGAAAATGGGAAAATCAACTTCCTGAACTTCAAAATGCACTACAAAGCAGTAGTAATTAAAATAGCATGGTACTGGAATAAAGAGAGACCCGCAGATCAATGGAATAGAGTCGAATATCCTGATACTGACACTCAAAATATATTATCACCTAGTCTTTGATAAAGGAGCAAGAAATGTGAAGTGGAGCAAGGAAAGCCTCTCTAACAAGTGGTGCTGGTAAAACTGGGCAACTACATGCAAAAAATGAACCCAGACCTCTTTCTAATTCCAGGCACAAAAGTCAGATCAAATGGATTAAAGACCTTGATACAAGACCTGAATCTATAAGATACCTGGAGAAAAAAGTGGGCAGAACCCTTCATGACATTGAAGCTAAAGGCATGTTCAAAGATGAAACACCACTGACCAAGCAAGTGGAAGTAATAACAAATGCAACTACATTAAATTAAGAAGCTCCTGCACCTCAAAAGAAACCAAGACCAAGATACAAAGACAGCCCAGAGATTGGGAAAAAATATTTACCCAATACTCATCTGATAAGGGGTTAATATCCAAGATATATAAAGCACTGGTAGAATTTTACATGAAAAAAAAAAAGCTTTAACCCCATCAAAAATTGGGAGAAGAAATGAACAGAAACTTCCTCAAAGAAGAAATACAAATGACTCAGAGATACATGAAAACATGCTTTACATCCCTAATCATCAGGGAGATGCAAATCAAAACTACAACGAGATATCATCTCACACCACAGAGACTGGTAAGGTAAAGGTAAAGGTAAAGGCCCTCCCGTTGATCATCGATTTGCTCGAGCGGGCCCAGTAACGTCTCCATTGGAGACTTTGTTGTTACTGTGTTTGGCATATCGAATACTCTCGGTAGCTTGCCGGGCTCTCCGAGAGGGGCGGAGGAATCGAACTCGGGTCGGCCATGTTGGCCGCTTGTAAGGCGAACGCCCTACCCGCTGTGCTATCACTCCAGCCCACATTCCAAAAGAGCAAAAGCAACCAGTTCTGGCATGGATATTGGGAGAAAGGTGGGAATGCTGATTGGACCAGTCTTTTCAGAAAACAGTATGGGCATCCTCAAAAAGCTGGCAATTGAGCTTCCATATGATCCAGCAATACAATTTCTGGGAATATACTCCAGGGGTACAAAAACACACTGCAGAAATGCCATCTGCATGTCTATGTTCATTGCAGCACTATTCACAATAGCCAGAATCTAGAAACAACCCATGTGCCTGAGAACTGATGACTGTTTAAAGAAACTATAGCACATCAACACAATGGAATGCTATGCAGCTATTAGGAAAAATGAAGTCATGAAATTCACTTATAAATGGATCGACAAGAAGAGTAGCATGCTGAGTTGAAATGAGTCAGAAGGAGAGGGACAGACAGAATGACTGCACTCATTTGTGGGATGCAAATAAATATGATACTAGTATCCAAGGACAGTAGAAACAAAGGTCAGGAGGATTGGTCCATGGTTGGAAAACTGCTTCAAGTGCTTGGAGGAAAAGGCAATTGGGATAGAGAAGGGATTACTACGACATAGTAGGAAATGATTACTGTGGATAAGAACTGCGTGCTGAAAGTAGGTAAAGGAACAAATATGATAACCCTTCAGTATCTGTATTGCAAACCATAATGCCCAAAAGGGGAGGAGGGAGGGGGGAGGAGAAGGGGGGGAGGAGAAGGAGGAGGAGGAAGAAGAAAGGAGGAAGAAGGAAGAGGAGGAGGAAGAGGAGGTGGTAGAGGCAGGCTGGGGGTGGGTGCTGGCAGGAGGGAAACTGATGTCATTGGTGTTGAGAAATGTACACTAGTATAGGGATAGGTGTTGGGACATTGTATGACTGA